ACACACACACACACACGCACGCACGCACACACACACACACGCACGCACACACACACGCGCGCGCGCGCACACACACACGCACACACACACACACACGCGCGCGCGCACACACACACACACACGCACACACACACACACACATACACAGACAGACAGAGCGCGCGAGAGCGAGAACGAGGAGGAGAGAGCGAGTGTGTGTGTGTGTGTGTGCGCGCGCGTGTGTGTGTGTGTGCGCGCGCGCGTGTGTGTCTCTCTCTCTCTCTGTGTGTGTGTGTGTGTGTGTGTGTGTGTGTGTGTGTGTGTGTGTGTGTGTAAGAGTAATCGAGCGGGTGCTGCTCTCGCGGAAGCTAAATATACACGAGACAGCCCGTCGTGCATACTATTTGCTGCGGTGTCGAGTCTGCAACAATAAACACACAACATAAGAAATCAAATAGGCTGAACAATAACAATTTCCTGGCCAACAAATCCCAGCGATTTGTGATTTCGTGTGTGACACGGCGACACTATTGTTGTACTAAATTATTTTTTGCTGGCTGTGCTGATAGCACTTAATTTCTCCTACATTGACGGACAGACTGTAATCACGAAAATCCAGGTTCAGAGGCCACCGGTCGGGCGTATTTGATGCGGTGTTGAGTTTGCAACAATAAGCACTAGATAGGAATTTCTTTGCCGGTGTTCCTACCAGTTGATGTTATACAGCGACGTGTGATCCAACCGCCATTTAGTACATCCCGACGTTCCTGAAGCAGTTTCACGTTCAACCCCACGCAGTTACGTTTGGCTAACGACGTGGGTGTAGTTAGCAAATATAAATTTTTTACATTTACGATTGCTAATTGCTCAGACAGATCATCAGCGTACCAGGCGACGCTGTAGTGGGTGGTGTTCACACATTGCCTGACACAGGAATGGACAATAGAGGTTTATCAAACACTACGCTTCGATCGTTGCGCGAGAGAGCAACAAGCCGCTATATAATATCAGGAGTTAATAAAGACAAATTGTCTTTATAATATCAGCTATATAATATGGCTTATCGTATCCTATGTAATAAGATTTGGACTAATAAAAGTTGGAAAGATATTAAAAATCCAACCATTATTTTATGAAAAATTTGATAAAATAGTGATACGAAATAGTGCGCGTATTGTGCGCCCTTTACTACTTTCAAATCATACGCTGTTTAAGAATCTCCATTCGCTGGATTTCCCCGGAGCTCCGCCTACTTTAAAAATAGTGCTAGCACTGTGGCAGTGGTATCCTGAGTGTACGAAGGTGCACTGCATGCAGTTTGATTGCGTGTTTGAACTCACAGGCGTTGCTGCGATGTATTATTGAGTTGCGATCTTTTGTTATTTTAATTTCTTTTAGGTAGATTTAATGTGAAAAGTCGTAAAATGGATCACCCATAAAACTGGAAATATCTGTATACAAACCCGGTAAATCGCGAGGATGGTAGGGGAAGGGCGAGCGAGCGAGCGAGACAGGGAGGGGGAGAGAGAGAGAGAGAGAGAGAGAGAGAGAGAGAGAGAGAGAGAGAAAGAGTGAGAGAGAAAGAAAGAGAGAGCGCGAGCGAGAGTGGGAGAGAAAGGGAGAGGCAGGGGGAGAAAGGGGGAGTCAGGGGGAGGAAGGTAGAGAGAGTGCGAGAGAGGGAGAGAGCGCGAGAGAGTGAGAGCAAGAGAGAGGGAGTGCGAGAGAGGGAGAGAGCGAGAGAGAGGGAGAGCGAGAGAAGGGGAGAGCGAAAGAGAGGGAGAGCGAGAGAGGGGGCGGAAGGGCGAGAGAAAGGGAGAGCGAGAGAGAGCGAGAGCGAGAGAGAGCGAGAGCGAGAGAGAGGGAGAGCGAGAGAGGAGGCGGAAGGAGAGGGAGAGGGAGAGTGAGAGAGAGGGAGAGTGAGAGAGGGGGCGAGCGAAAGAGAGGGGGAGCGAGAGAGGGGCGGAAGGGCGAGAGAGAGGGAGAGCGAGAGTGTCCGTGAGTGATTGTTTATTCAGACCGCGCTGTATATCAGAACCACGTGACACGTACGCTATCGAATTTCAGAGATTGTTTTCACAGAATTACTCGTTCAAAACATTAGTCTGATGTCTAAGATTATTGCTCCACAGAGAGATAAAGAGATAGGGAGAAAGAAAGAGAGAGAGAGAGAGAGAGAGAGAGAGAGAGAGAGA